GAAGGTACACTATACATATATTAAAGTTTCATTAAAAAGGACTGAAAAGCAATGTATGAAGAGAAAATAACCCAGAATTTTAAAATATGGATGGCATATATCAAACCACTTATACAAAATGTTTTATGAATTACTAGCAGGATAAATACAAGATAATCACACCATGACTTCTCATGGTAATACTGCTTAACACCAAAACCAAATACCTAAAAGTTGCTAGAGGACAGTGACAGGCAAGCACTAAAAATGCAAAGATTACACTGACAACTGACTTCTACTCAGAAATAATGGAAGATAAAAAGTATGAAGCAACATTCTTAAAATGCTAAAGAAAACCACTATTTATCAATAACTAACATATGAAAATACTTTTAAAGAATGAAGGGGGTCCGGGGATTTTGCTCAGTGGTGCCGCCGCCTGCCTTGCAAGCACAAGGTCCCAAGTTTGATCCCCAGAACCAAAAGAAAAAGAATGAAGGTAAATTTTTTAAACAAAAACTGAAAGAATATGTCAAAATTTGATATGCACAAAGGAAAGACTCAAAGAGGTTACTCAAACAGAAGGAAACTTATTCCTAATGGAGTAATTCCTGATGTAGTATACTTAATAATTAAGTGGACCTTATTTTTTTTCAACACAATTAACCTCACTTGGGCCAGGGATTTAGCTCAGTGGTTCTGCTGCCTGCCTTGCAAGCGCAAGGACCCAAGTTCGATCCCCAGTACCAAAAAACAAACAAACAAACAAACACAATTAACCTCACTTAACTTACCAATAAATTAAACATTGGTTCTATTTTTTAAAATTCTCATTTGGTTTTAAATATGTATCAAATAAAAATATTCAAACACAATGACACCAACATAAGATTAATGAAATTAAAGTATCTGACAGTCTTTTCATTACCCAGGGAGTAACAATACCAATTAATATTAGGTTTTGAAAACTCAAGGGTAAATGCTGTAATCACCGAAGATATATAGAGCAGTGATGACAAACATTTTAGAGTGCCCAAAGTGCAACCCAGAACCCACTTATTTACAGCAAAGTGCCAACATTGCAATTAAGCCTTGAATACTTAAGTTTTAGTTTAGAAAAAACAACTCATACACTAACATCTTTTGTCTTTAAAAGAAAAACAACACATTTGTCATAGGTTCGCCACCACTGATACAAAGAGATAAAGGGAAAACCTACAGATGAAAATAATCTTAAGGGAATTCCAGGCAATCACAATGAATGGGCATAATTTGGATCTCAAGTCAAACACTAAACATTCAAAGGCTACAAAATATGTACCAAAAGGATATCATACCCACTGGAACAATTTGGAAAAGTAATTTGATATTATGTTTTAAAGCTGAACATACTATTCAACTCAACAAATACATTCCTCAAAATAAGACCAAAAGAAACACTTGGACACATGTACCAGGACATATGTAAGAATATTTCAAGTATTTCAAAGCCAAAATAGCACAGTAACACAAGATACTAGTATATAATATGAAAATGAACTGTAACTACATGCAACATGAATTTATCTTTAAAGTATATTTAAAAGGTTAATATCACACATACAGTGTGATACCTTTGTATAATTAGCAAAAATAATTAAAACTAAACAATACTCAGATAGAAGGTGTAGCTGAGTGGCAGGCTGCTTGCCTATGTGAGGCCTAAATTTGATTCCAGCACTGCTAAATAAGCAAACAAACAAAACCATACTCCATACCTATATATGTGAAAAAACAGCTTTTTCAGAAGCAAGGAAATGATAACACAAATAGCATCATCAGAGTTAGGTGCAGGTCAGTGGGATGGGACAAAAGAGAACAGGGCTGTTTCCCTTGTGTCTAACTTAACTGTGCCCCACCATGTGGCAGTATGTGATCGGGGTAAGAATAACTATGGTCTCCTCTAAGGGCACACATCCTGATTTGTCTGAGCTGTAACACATAACACTTATGCATACCTGACCCAAGGGCACAGTTCTAGAAGAAAGTTCAGGCTTTTTTTTTTTTGATGTTGAGAAAAGTCAGCTCTGCCCCCCCTACCTAAGCATGAAAGAGGAAGCACTTAAGTAGCTACTAGCAGATTTTTTTGAAGTGAACCCAAGGATGAAGGCCAAGGATGTCATACAGTTGGACCTGTCCCCAGGACACTAGCAGTGCAGTAGTGGGGAGACAAAGGGGGTAAGAATGAGGTTGTCAATGTTTTTACCACTCCTTATGGTTTTCACTAAGGCCCTACACACAGAAATTTGTAAATGGTCTCTGTGTTTTTCTGTGTTTTTAATTGTCAAAATGCAAAGTACTTAAAACTCTCAGCATTAAAGAAATCAAATCTTCAGAAAATATTCATTTTACGGGAGAAAGTCTTAGCTTCAATTTGTTCCAAACTGTTGTTTAGGGTCACATAATAATAATAATCAGAAACCATTTGGCAAAAAAAAAAAGACAATAAATTTGGAGGTAAAGGAATTTAAATCATTTTTGCACTTAAATTTTAACCTAGGAATTATGAAATACAAAGCCTGACAAACTCAATTAAAAGAAATAAGTAAGCAATCTATATATCAAAGGGATTCTTCAGCCTAAGTCATGAATTGGCCATTCAATAAAAAGACTAATATTTGAAGTATTTAACAACAAAATATTTTGATTTTCAAAACCAAAATTTCCATGTCCAAATCCTTTCCTTTTTCTAGTACAAAAAGCTGATTTTAAATATCTAGGGAGTAAAATAAATTCTTAGCATGTACAGATTTCAGGGTTAGTTAAAATGTAATAATAGATTCTGATACCCATGCTCAAAGTTGTGTCAACTTGAAAATAACCAAACTCCCCACTGATATACTACATTCCTTAACTTTCTCAACTCCTGCATCTCTTTATGTATTTGTTAGCTCTTTTTTTTTTTGGTACTGGGGATCAAACTCGGGTCCTTGTGCTTGTGAGGCAAGCAACAGAACCACTGGGCTAAATCTCCAGCCCTTTGTTAGCTCTTTTTAGTGTAGCACTTCTACTCACCTATCTTCCTCTGATTGACTATTCAGTTACCCTTTCTGTACATGTCTAGTTTTCTCTGAATATGTCCTAGGTTATCTATGTACTTTCTCTATGTTTGGTTTTCCCATTCTTTCTTTCTTTCTTTTTTTTTGGTACTGGGGATTGAACTCCAGACCTTGTGCTTGCGAGGCAGGTGGTGGAACCACTGAGCTAAATCCCTGGCTCTCCCATTCTTTTTGTATCTCTTCATTCTTCTTTACCCTCCATTCCTTAGCCAAATGCTTGCTATGTTTTGAATATTTTTGTCGCCTCAAAATGTATATGTTAAATCCTAAGCCACAAGTTGTTGGTAGTAGGAGGAGGAGGCTTTTGAAGGTACTTAGGTCATAACGGTGGACCCCCATGAATGGAATTAGTTCCCATATAAGAGTCTCCAGAGAAAACTCTTGTCCCTCCCACCACATGAGGATACAGCAAAGTATCATCTATAAGCTGAAAGGTCGGTCCTCCCTAGACACAGAATCTTCCCTGACCTTGGTCTTCTAGCCTCCAGAACTCTGAGAACTACACTTGTTATTTACAAGCCACCCATTTTATGGTGTTTTCTTACAGCAATCCCAACAGATTTAGGCATAATAGTACTTAACTTTTGTGATATGATTATAGAATCAAAATTCTTAGTCCCTGCTTATCATCTTTAGGTAGTAAGGTAATTTTCATTTCTAACTTTTAAAGGAAATTACCTTTTAAATTAATTTCTGCTGTGTGACCTGTGCACTGACTTTATTCAGTGGGTCAGTGTCATGATAAGATGCTGCTTATTACACAATTAAAATTTTTACAAGGGATTTAGTTTTTAGTTTTTGTTTTTTGGGGTTTTTTTGGTACCGGGGATGGAACTCAGGACCTTGCTCTTGGGAGGCAGGCAGTGGAATCACTGAGCTAAATCCCCAGTCCTACAAGGATTTTAAATCAAAAGAGTTAGTCTTTAGACAATGTAAATTAACCTTATGGATTCACAGATCTATTTTTTTAAAAACAGCATTGGGGTTCAGTAATACTCTTATTTCAAAGATTCTCTTGTATACTCTTATTTTTTAAATTCAATTTTTCTTTATATAATTTTCTATTATATGGATATTATATCTAATTTGAAAACATGAACACATAGTGAATTTAGTGAGTGGCTAAATTATGATTTGGCTTTGACACACCCATGATTTTATCACTAATTTGGAATCCTAACTACTATAAAGTATAACTAATAACATTTCACAAATGTATGAACTCGAAATAAGTCTACATAGAGAAAAAAATGAAGCAGAGAGAATTAATCCAACCAAATCAAACAGCCAATAGTATAGCAGGGATCAGAAACATGAATTGTTGGTTCTTGGAATATTACCATTAACCTCCTTGCTTCCATCCTTTATGATTTTTTGTTTGATTCTGTGTTTTTTAATAATTCTAATTTAATTCTCTATGAGTACAAATACACCAAATCATTTCCACTTTAATTTGAGATACATTTAAATAGTTCTCTTATTGTATGGTCTAACAGTGTAATTTGTTGAAAAGTTTAAAATAGGTTTCTAGACATGTATAAAGAGAAAACAAGATACCTTAGTCCAAAGTTATTTTATGTTACATAGTTTAAAAAAATTAGTATTAAAGTCAACTAGAAAACATTATAATCTCATTCACAACTTAGATATATTTCACTGGAGAAAGAACAACTATATTAAGGTACCTAAAATTTTACCAAACAATATGTCTCAAGTGTTGCAATTCTTTATACTATTAAAGAACTTAATACATGACATCCTCAGACAGTCAGCCACTGCTGACCAGTCTTAGCAGGGACTTACCATGAATAATCTCCCTTTTAACCATGATTATAACTTGACAGCACTAGGCAGGGCAGTATGGAAGAAAAGTGATGAAGAGATAGGTATTGGTAAAATGAACTAAGCTTGTAAGGTACGTGCCTGTCATATGCAGCAATCATAAAATTGAGGAGGAGGCTGATAGACTGTTCCACACTGATTTGGTGAGTAGAAGGAAGGCGTTTATTCAACTGATAGTAGATGGATGAGATGACAGTTTCAAGGCGGGACACACTGATCTCGGTGGTATGGTCCAGTGTATTAAGGCCATTGTCTCGGAAAGCTTCAATCATGTTCCAGATATCCACAAGATGAACTAAAACAAGAAGGAAATCAACTGTCAACAATTTTAAAGTATGGCACCACCTTCGCAATTAGATGTTTTAATTTATCAACTAGTTTCTAAGGTTAAAAAGAGAAACTCTTTAGCAACAATGAGCAATATTCTGTGGCGGAATAGAGAATGTCAATCGAGATGACATCAAAGTGCCACCACAGATCAGAACTGATAACCCACAGACTTGATATCCATGTGACTAGCATTTCAGATCTCTGTAAATAGTGATACATGCAATACATGTAAATACTCATTATAGTTAGCATTAGAGAAAGTTAAAAAAAAGTCAAGAGCTACTCATAAGACCTTTCAGCCTTTTTAATAATTTTCTATATCATCTTGAGTCACCTAACTTTATTACTGTAGCATAGCAATTTCAGCAACATTTACAACTCAAATTTTACTCTCTATAGCTTAAAAGAGAGAATACAATTACATTAAGTAAAACACTAATATGCTTTATGGACCATTCATTGCCCTAAACAATTAAAAGCAAAAAAAAAAATTTGTCTTTTGCTTCTTTTTTCATTACTTAAGAAGTTGATTTTTTTTAAATTTCATGTCCAATTACATGTTAGGTAGGTACTAGGATTTATTGTTCCCTTTGGAAACAACTAAAAATTCTCAATGAGCCATAAAAATATCATCTTCAGTTGCTCATTAATGGCTCAGAAAAAAATATTACTCAACCAGACAGAAAAGAGACTTTTCCTTAAAAAACCAAGACTTAGAATGACACATGAATTCAACCAACAAAGGTTGCAACCTGCAAATTCTATTCAAAAGAGAGTTGATGTAACTTTATTTATAACAAAAGAGGAGTGGATGGAAAACCACATCATCATCTCAGTAAACACAGAAAAAGTTATTTGGTAATTCATCACCTTTTCATAACAAACATGCTCTACAATACAGTAGGGATAGAATGGAATTTCTACAATGGGGGAGGACCATGCCCTCCTCTCAGAGTCAGGAACCAACCTTAAGTAGATGCAATCAAAGGAAAAACAAACACAATGGAATTTATTCCATTTAAACTCTTACACTTTAAAAGATAATAGCAAGAAAGTAAAAAGGCAACCCAAGGAATGGAAAAAAATATTTCCAAACCATGCATCAATAAAATATCCAGAATATATAAAAATTCTTACAACTCAAGAAAAAAGACAAATATCCAATTTAAAAATGGGCAAATAACTTAAATGGATAGTTATATAAATGTACATAGAAGATATACAGATAGCCAACAAGCACATAAAAAGATGCTCAATATTGTTAGTCATTAGGCAAATGTGAAACAAAAGTACTGTATAATGATATACCATTTCAGAACCCACTACAATGATCTTATAATTTTTATATAGAAAATATCAAGTGTTGGTGAATATTTAGGGAAACTGAAATCATCATATCAGTCAACCAAATTATTCATAAAAATCAAAATGTAGAGCAGGGTGTGGTAGAGTATAACTGTAATCCCAGTTACTCAGGAGGCTACGGCAGGAGGACCAAAAGTTTGAGCCCAGCCTGGCCAACTCAGTGAGAACCTACCTCAAAATAAAATAAAATGGTCTGGGCATGGTAGTGCGCTTGCCTAGCATGCCTGAGGTCCTGCATTCAATTCCCAGTACCACCAAAAAATGGAGAAAAAAAAAAGCAGAAACAATCCAAATATCCATCAATGATGAATGGATAAACAATAAATAAATAAATATACAGAAAAGAATATCATTCAATCACAAAAAGAAATGAACAGACCTTTTATTGAACAAAGCTCTCCAAGACTAGAGAATATGATTTATTTTTCAAGAACACAAAGAATATATGTAAAAACTGACCATGGACCAGGGCTGGTGCCCAGTGGTAGAGCACTTGCCAAGCACATGTGAAGCCCTGGGTTCCATTCCCAGCAGACAAAATAAAAACTGACCATATCCTGGGCTGTTAAGTAAATCTCAACAAATTTCAAAGGATTAAACTCATATGAACAATGCAATCAAAATGAAACTAAGAAGTCATTATCAAGAGACAATTTTTAAAATAAACCTTACCTTTAGAAATGAAGAAATACCCTACTAGGAACTTAATCTGGCTAAGGCTATGTATCTGCAAAGATCTTGCAGCAAACATCACTTCAAAGGGAAATGCTGAAAGCATTTACTCTAATATCGGGAATGAGATAAAGACATCCACTGCCACCATTTCTACTGTACTTGATGCCTAACCAATATAAATATCCAAGATAAAGTAATAATCAGCATTAGAAATAAGTATAATGGAAGTATTGGAAATAAATATAATGGTCATTAATCAGGAATGACAAAACTGTGCACACAGAAAATCATAAATATGTGACAGATAAGTTAATAAAATTAGTATGTGGGGCCAGGGATTTAGCTCAGTGGTTCTGTCACCTGCCTTGCACCTGCAAGGTCTCGAGTTGACTCCCCAGTAGCAAAAAATAAAATAAAATAAAATTTAAAAAGTAAAATAAAATAAAATAAAATAAAAATAAAATAAAATAAAGTAAAATAAATAAAATAATATTAGTACGTGGATCCAGAACAACTGCTACATAAAAGACTAAAATATAAGTCATTTTATGTCTTGTACTTCAGTAATACACAATGGAAACTTAAAATACTATTCACAATAGCGTCCTAAGTCACAAAAACCTAGGAATAAATTCAATGAAGGTTGTACAACATCACTACAAAATATAATTGGCAGAAATTAAAGACCCAAATAAATGGAGGATTGATACACCATGTGTACCAGGAAGAGATTTCAATATTGGGAATATTCCAATTCTCCTTAATTTGATCTACAGATTCAAGCAGGTCCAATCAAAATCCCAGCAAGACTATACATTAAAGACTTAAAAATTATTATTAAAAAAAGAAATCCCAGGGCTAGGGATTTAGCTCAGCGGTGCTGTCGCCTGCCTTGCAACCACAGGTCCCGAGTTCAATCCCCAGTAAGAAAACAAAAAAACCAAAATCCCAGCAGAGTTCTTTGTGTTATTTCATTTCTAGTTGCAACTGACAGATTTTAAACTTTATATAAAAAAAGTCAAAGGGCCAAGGATTTAGCTCAGTGGTTCCACCACCTGCCTCGCAAGTCCAAGGTTCCAAGTTCGATCCCCAGTACCAAAAAAATTAAAAAATAAAAAGTCAAAAGGCCACAAATGTCCTAGATAATATTTTTTTAAATAGAATAAAGTAGGAAAACTTGTTCCACCTTACATCTAAATGACTTACACATACACATAACAAACATATTGTACTTACATATATACATACATATAAAACTATAACAGTGGCTGTTGAAACAGTGTGATACAAGGACCAGACTATCTTAGTTACTTTTCTCATTATTGAGACAAAATACTCAATACCCAAAGTTAAAGGAGTAAAGGTTTATTTCAGCTCAGTTTATAGAGAACCGGTTCGGTTCATAGTGGCTGGCTCCAAGGGGGGTTGGCTTGGCAGAGAAACAGTTCATGGTGGGCAGAAGGCAGCAAAGCAATGAAGTAGCAAAGAAGCAACAGCGACAAAAGCAGCCCTCTTTCTGTCCCTTATATTCTATCCAGGATACACACCCTCCCTCAGGGCAGGTAGCACTCATACCCAGGGTGGGCCTTCCCTTCATCTACACTCAGAACTATGGCAAACCAATCAGTGGACTAATTTAGTAATTATCCATCCTTGATCCCAGTGTCACACACCTAATTCTAGCATCACACACTCTAGATCCAGCCACCTCTGAAAAGCCCCACCTATGACCACATGAGGATTTGGGGGACATCTAGACATAAGCCATAACACTGGCCTATGGAAAACAAGAGGGTCACAAACAGATCTTCTCACATATGGACACTGCTATAAACACTCTTATACATTTCTCCTAATGAATGTGAGAGGATTCTCTGACAGTGAAGAAAAAGAATGACTTTTTCAATGAACACTGTAGGGACAATGAAACATACCTATGGACAAAACTAATGGTTAACTCTTACTCATATTGTACAGACACCCCCAAAATTTCAAGGTAAACTGTAGATCCATATGTGGGTAATAAAATAAAACTTCAGAACAATGCAAATTTTACTTTACATCACTAACACTACTAACCTAGTTTAGGCTCTCAATATTCCAGACATAGACTACTGTTTTCCATGAATTATTAGGGGAAGAATTATAAAAGTGAGTTATTAACATTGTGGTTTTCAAATGTTTTGGCCACAACCCACAGAAATATATTTAAATCATCACACATACACATCTAGATTTATAAGACAAATGTTTCAGGAAACATTTTTCACTGCCTATGCTGTACTCTAGTATTTCTTTCTTTCTTTTTGTATTACACACTTTAAATCATGGCTACAACCATCAAAATGATTTCATGAAACATTAATGGGTCATATCCCATGAAAAACAACACTTTGAGAAATCATTGAAGAAAGAAATCCGACTTTAAGATCACAGGACAAACTCTTGGAAAGAACTTTAAGCGAGGATTTGTAGGTGGCAGAAGTTATCAGATGTAATGTGACTGCCCAAGTCACTTATTTATAATAAATAGCAAAACTCAGTCTAAAACTGAAGTTTTCAATTCTTAGGTTAATGTTCTTTCCCTTACAGATTCTCACAGGAGTCCACATAACAAACATACAAAAAAAGCATTATAATTCTGACATAAGTGAGTTCATCTTCATGGAAATTAATATATATACATACATATACACATACTAGTTCATAACCCATATGATAGCAATTACTGTTAGAAAAGGTTGATTTATGTTATATTAAATTTAATCAAGAAAATAAATTCTTACATCTTTATCAAAACATATTTTTCTTCCAGTGCCTGCCTTACAAGCACAAGGTCCTGAGTTCGATCCCCGGTAGAAAAAAAAAATTTTCTTTTCTGCCAGAAACTAACAAATTATTATTAATTTTGTATAAAACATTTCATTAATATTAACAAGGAAAAAAATCAATTCTCCCACTTAACATTAACACCATGCCAATCTCAAAACAAGTTACATTACTGAATTTGTTAAAATTTTAAGGATACAGGATTAAAATGACAAGTTCTTTCCATTATAAAGCTTATATATGAATAAATAATTAAAACAAAAACAATTCAATTAACATAAGAATATTAACATATTTTATAACATTAAGAAATGAGAAGAGATGACTTACAGTTGCATCGTTTTTGTACAAATCGTAATTTGCAAGCTGTTCTATAAGTTGATAGTCGGATGACATCAAAATTCTGAGCACCTGAAAAAGGGCAAATAAAAATCTTCAACTTCAAATTAAATTTGCTATTTAATTTCTAAATGCTAGGAAGTGTGATTCCCTATTCAACTAACAGTCAAGTAGGCCTTCTGATAAAAACCAAACTGGAAGAAGGGTCAGGAAACACCTTCCGTGGGCCCACTATACACCAGGACTCTGCCAACAGCTTTGCCTATTATCACCACATCTGCTGGGCTAAAAAAACTCTGAGGGGAGGAATACTCATGTCCCAAGTCACTTGTTTATACTGCATGGCAAGTGTAGGTGACTCAGTGAATGACCAAGAGATCAGTAAATAGGAGCAGAGTGGTAGAGTAAGAAAGACCTTAACATAAAGTCTAGAATGCTAAATTCCAGCCCTAGCCTGGCCACAAAATAGAACACGACTGTGGCCATGCTGCATACTTCTTCTCGGCCTCAATGTCCTTCCTCACCAGCACGATGAGGTCCCCTTCCACAGTGGTATCTCCAGAGCAGTGTTTTATGCTCCTCTAATATAACATCCCCCTCTATTAAGCAGTAAAATCATTTTTCTTCACTCGAATCTGAACAGGATACTGTGATGCCTCAGCAGAAGTGATAGTACATTACTTCTAGAGACAGGTGATAAAAAGGCCACCAGTAGCCCCGGCTCTCACTCTTTCAGGACACTTGCACTGTGAGGATATGCAGACTACTGACATGGAGAGGCTTATATGCAAATGAAGTAAGTCCATAACCACAAGGCAGCACCAACGGTCAAACACGTAAGTGTGCAACCTTCAGATGATTCACACCCTGAGCTCCTACTTGTTCCAGTGAAGACAAGAGGTCAGCACTGGGAGTTCAGAGTACCTGCACTGTATGCATGAGGCCCTGGGTTTCATCAATAGTACATCAGAAGAAAAAAATCAGCACTGGATGCCACTCTAAGTCTAGACCAACAAAATATACAAACAAAATAAATGACTGTTTGAGGAAAGATAGTCATTGTAACAAGAACAAAGCCTAAAATTTCATGAGTCTATAAATCAAGCTTTGTTCTCATTTCAGAATTTAGTATAAATAAAGTCTCCTTAAATTTTAAGGTCACTTTAGACAGCTATGGTCCCCAGTGTGAGTTTCATGTTCATCTACACACCCCTTATAAGATTTGGCAGCTACTTGATTCAGTAAGGGGAAAATGAACTGGCACAAATTATTTTCTACTAATGCTTACAGGTATGTCTTGTTTCTATTCATTTCACAGTATAGAGGGAATAAAGGAAAGATTTTTTCAGGTTTTTGTGAAAGTAATGTTTCTTGACCAACATAGTTCTCTTCATTTCAAACTTTACCCTGTCATAATTAAAATGATTTCCTCTACCATCTGGTTCTCACAGAATTTCTGTTCTTCTATATACTGTATAGTTCTACTTATTTTTAACATAAGCTTTATTAAAATACAATGCATATACCCCACAATTTGCCATTGAAAGTATAAATTTCAATGAATCTTACTATACACAGAGTTGTATATTCATTGCCAAAATCAATTTTACAGTATTTTCATCATCCCAAAAAGAAACTTCTGCCCCTTAGCAATGACTTTGCTCACTATGTAACTGGATTATCTTATAATAAAAAGTTCCATTTTATTCTAGAGAGAAGTCATAGGACTTATGATTTGCAAATAATTTTTCTCATTTTGTCAGTCATTTGACCCTTAGTGAATCCACTGAAGCACAAAAGTTTATCATTTTTATGAAGACCAATTTATTCTTTTATCACTTGTGTTACTGCTGTCATATCTCAGAAGGCTCTGTGTAGATCAAGGTCAAGTAGATTTTTCTTCTAAGAGTTTGTTGTTGTTGTTTAGGTGGGTGTTTTCTTTTGTTTTGTTTTTTCAGTACTGGGAATCAAATCAAAACCTTATGCATGCTAGGCAAGTACTCTTAATGAGGCTCACCTCCAGGTATATTTTTATCTTGAGACAAAGATTCACTAAAGTGCCCAAACTGGGCTCAAATTTACAATCCTCCTACCTCAGCCTCCCAAGAAGCTGGGATTACATATGTGTGCCACCACACATGGCTGTTTTTCTTTAAGAGTTTTCTCTTTTATGTTCAGGTCCAAGGTTCATTTTCAATTAATTTGATATATGGTATGAGGCAAGGATATCCAGTTTCCCTACCACAGTTTGTTCAAAAGACCATTCTTTCTCCATTGAACAGTCTTGATACCCTTGTCAAAAATTAACTGTAAAATTAAATCTATCCCTTTAATTATGTGCAGTTATAGTACAGATCGTAAATGTCCCCCATCAAGGCTCAGGTGTTAAAGACTTAGTCCCCAGCTTGACACTCTGAAGTTAAGGAGCTGTTAAGAGGTAAGGCCTAGTAGAAGGCCTCATTGTCCAGGCATTAAGAATACGTCCCTAGGGCCAGGGATTTAGCTCAGTGGTTTCGTTGCCTGCTGCGCAAGCACAAGGACCAAGTTTGATCCCCAGTACCAAAAAAAAAAAAAAGAATACATCCTTGACCCAGCACTTGGCAGGGTGAGGCAGGAACTACCGTGAGTTCAAGACTAGCCTGGGCTACATAGCAAGTTTGAGGTCAGTGTGTAACACAGTGAAGATTTTGTCTTGGCCGGTGTGGTGGCACATGCCTGTAATCCCAACACTCAGGAGACTGAAGCAGGAGGATTGCTGCAAGTTTGAGGCCAACCTGAGCTATAAAGTGAATTCAAGGCCAGTCTGGACTACAAAGTGAGACCTTGTCTCAAAAAAAACCCAAAACATATAAACAAACAAAATCCTATCTAAAAAACAAAAGCAAAAAAGTATACTGAAAAGGGTTTATGGGACTCTGATTGCTTCCTTTCTCATTTCTGGTCATGAAATGAATAGGTTTCCTCTACCACATGTTTCCACCATTATGTACTATGCCTCACCATAGACACGAAAACAACAAGGACAAGCAACCATAGCCTGAAACCTCTAAAACTGCAGGCCAAAATAAAACCTTCATCATTTTCAGTTGATAATATAAGTTACTTTATAACAGTAGTGGAAAGCTGACTAACACATACATCTATCCTTATGCCGTAATACAGAATCTGGATAATAAAAAATTCTGATGTCCGAAAGCATGAGTCTTCTGGCTTTGTTCCCCTCTTTCAAGACTGCTTTGACTGTTCTTGGTCTCTTGAGTTTCCACATGAAGTTTAGGATCAGTTCAACCATCCGCAAAGAAGAGTTAGGTCTTTTATGAGGACTGTGTTGAACCTATAGATCAGATTAGGGAATATTGCTATCTTAACAATGTTAAGTCTTCCAATCCATTAAGACAGGATATCTTTAGGTCTCCCTTAATTTCTTTCAACAATGTTTTGTAGCATTTAGAATAGCATAGGTTTTACACTTCTCTTATTAAATATATTCCTACTTTCATTTATTGGTTTGGTTTGTTAGTATATTACTCTCTCAAGCCAAATATTTTAAATTGGAACCATTGAGCATTAGCCAAAAACCAAACTGAACTGTTTAAAGAAGGAACGTTGACAAATGTTCAAATGAATTTAATAAATAACCTGGCATTAAATTACCGCAGTTAATTTTAATGTCTAAAGATTTATACAGTATGAAATAACTGGAAATACAGACAAAACTAATGAAAATAGCTAGGAAATGGGAACTCCATCCCAATTAATAAAATCTGCTAATGTGAGATCACACTGCCAGCTATTTATTAGGTCGTGTTTGCTAGTGGAGATGTAATTCTCAGAAAAGTCATTGCACCTGGTATAATCACTCTCTTCAGCATTTTTCTCTGGTGCAGGTAAGAGACATATCTCGGTATTACAAAAGATGAAATAGGTAAACATCACAAATGTAAAGTGAACTTTACATTAGTTCAGGAAAAGAAGAAACTTCCTTTGCTATACATCAGTTTGCCAGAGATCTCTACACTGGAGCTTCAGACACATGCCAAGAATCAAGTGTCACTCTATGTGTCTTAGCCATTGTTCCTGTGAAAATACATTACTCTAAAACAAGTGAGAGAGCTGGGGATGTTGCTCAACAGCACAGCACCTGCCTGGCAAGCACAAGGCCCTGAGTTCAATTCCTGGTACCAAAAAATAAATACATACATACATACATACATACAAGTGAGAAAAGGTGCAGATACCAGTAGGATGGCACAGGCTTCTGAATCTCTAGGGAATCCTGCCCATAATAATGTTTTGTTTTGTTTTGCTGCACTAGGGATTGAATCTAGGGCCTTAGCACTGAACCAGATCCCTGAGCCTATTTGTTTGTTTGTTTGTTTGTAAGCAGGGTCTCACTAAATTGTACAGGCTGGACTCGAACTTGTGATCCTCCTGCCTCAGCCTCTGCAGAGTACTGGGATTGCAGGCATGCACCACAGCAACAGGCTTCACACTCTTGGGTGTGGTGGTACATGCCTGCAATCCCAGCTACTCAGGAGGCTGCAGCAGGAGAAACACAAGTTCAAGGCCAGCCTGAGCGATACAGCAAAACCCTTCCTGAAAATAAATAATCTTACGACTTTACTAAAACCTGTAGTGCCAATATTGCACCAGTCAGATTCTAAAATGTCTCATGTTTCCCTTCTTCTGGAACAGCCATCTTTCCAGGTTTCTATAAGGAGACTCCTCACTCTCCCCCACAAGGCTAGCCTTGGCTTTTTAAATACATATTGAGTATTCCTTATCTAAAATGCTTGGGACCAGAAGTGTTTCAGATTTCAGAGCATCTCAGACTTTGAATTTTCAATTTATGGATTCTAAACCTCTACTTCCCTTATGTAAGAGTCACTAATTTAAAATATTGTAGTCTGGCAAATAAAAATAGAATGTTCTCAGTAAAGAAAGTGAAAATAATTATGAGCTGAACATGGTGTTACAAACTTGTAATCCCAGCTATTCAGGAGGCTGAAGCAGGAGGTTGGCTTGAGGCCAGGAGTTTAAGACCAGCCTGGGCAACACAGCAAAATCCATCT